CTCTCTCTCTCTCGTACTGAACACATCAATGAGCAAAAGAGAAATAACTGAGAGAAAAGACTGATGTTATGCAGTCTTTCAGGAGCAAAACTGAAAATGTGAAGATTAGAGAAGAAAAGGGTACCTCTCAAGTCTGGCAAAGAGTCTATAGAGAAATCAGAGTGGGGAAAAAAAAAAAAAGAGGAATTGTGTTGGTAGGTTTTCTGTTAATATAACAAATATCCAAGACAATCAAATGATAAAGGAAAAAGATAAGATTCATTTGGGCTCACATATTTGGAAGGTCCAACTGTTGATCGGTTGGCCACTTGCTTTTGGGCCTGCAGTGAGTCAACACATCATGGTGGTTGTGTGTGGTGGAACAAAACCATTCACCTCATGATCAGCAAGCAAAAGAGAATGAGGACCAGTCCAGGGTCTAACACCTCTCTTCAAAGGCACACTCCAGTTACCTAAAGACCTCCAACTGAGCCCTGCCGCTCATGATTCTACACTTCCCAGTAGTGCTTTCAAGGGACATGCCAGATCCAGACTAACAGGAAGACAGGGGTCCACATGAAGAGGAATGTTTAGGCATTGAAATAGTCAAAGAGTAAAATAGAAAGATTGACATTTACAAAAGAAATCTTTTGTTATAGTGTCCACATGGACAGGAAGAGAGAAAAGGTGGAAACTGGAATATCAGGGGTCTCATATACTCTATTTATGGTAAGAATTTGGTCTAGAATCATTGCTGTGGAAATAGAAATACATAGATTTAAAAGATAATTACAAAGTAAAATCTACAATGTGCAGGTTCATATAAAAATATAATAGTTAGAAATGTAATAAGACATGGTCAAAACTAAATTACTCTCAGTGCTATGGTATATTATTTGCAAATTTCTATTTGTATGCAAAAAGTGAAATATGCATATGTATTTTCAAGTCCAGCTGTGACTTTTATGAATTTCAGTTATTTACTCTTCCAACCCAATCTATTAAAATGCAATGGTCCCAACCTACAGTAGCAATTTCAAAGTGGGTTCACTTCATCAGCTTATGTCTCAGGCCCTGAAATACTTTTCACTCGGAGTCCATGAAAACCTCTCTCTTCTCTGTGTTGTTATACAGTATATTGTGCTGGACCATTCTCTGGCAGCAAGAAAAAAACTAAACCATTTACACATTTACTTGCTTTAATTCAATTACAGGGATTATCATTGTCTTCGTAGAAACAAATGACTAGAGAATTGTCAAGTATTTTTTTTTTAACAGATGAACCAAGTAATATGTAACAGAGCAAGAAATGAAGAAACTGTAGAACTAAAGGGCTAAGAGGTAGAAGTGAAAAGAACATAAATGTAGAAATGAGGTAAAGAAGAGTTGGAGTGGACATAATCAAGTTTGGAAAATGGAATCTTTGGGCAAAGTTTAGAATGCTTGAAATAATGTGTTTGGAGGAGGAGAATTTACAAAAGTGACAGGTTTAAGAGTAGGAATTTGATGTTTTATGTGAATACAGTGGGGACAACAGGCTTTTGAGAATCAGGGTATCAGAAACAGAAAGGCTGAAAACAATAAAAATTATGCATGCTTCAATAGAATATCAAGAGCAGGTGCTGAAGCTCTTTATAAACAATGGAAATTAATCAACAGAAAACAGAGATGGGTATAACTAGGTGGAGGTTGTAGGCACAGAGATCAATATTGCAGAATGACATGCATCTCAAAGGAATATATATTTTTTTAAAAAAATCAGGGGAGAGGATTAATACTCTAGAAGTATAAATGAAAATAATTTCAGTCTACTGTGAAGTAGACTTCCTCTCTCCTTGAGGGAGGGAAAGATGATTGGAAAAAAAAAAATAACTAAAATACCTGATAGACTCTGTCCCACCCAATCTTATAGCTTCACCTCCAGGTCTTTGCCACCATAGCCATCTGTCTTAGTCCAGTTGGACTGAAACAATGAAATATTTTACATTGGGTAATTTTTAAACAACAGAATTTATTGTTCTCAATTCTGGTAAATGAAAAGTCTAAGAAAAAGTTATCACCCCATTAGGTGCCTGTCAGGGCTGGCTTTGCCTCTCATAGACAATGCTTTCTTACTATGTCTTCACATGGGAAGGGCATAGTTTATAATCCTCAGGCCTCATGTATAGTCCCATTTATAAGAAAGAGTCCTCAGGATCTGCTCACCTCCCAAAGACCACCTCTTATTTCCACCATATTGCAGAATATGTTTCAACACACAAGGTTGGGAGGGACATATCAGCATTCATATCACAACAATATCCAGTACCCCAGAAATACCATAACCACAGTTTCACTCACACCATTAGCTGTGTTTATAGTGCCCATTCTGCGGTGTCCATAAGACTTTATCTGAGGAACTCTGTATCCCAGCAGAAAGGAAACTTACTCTGCATAGATTTTTGAGCTTGTCCTTTTATACTGCCATCACTAATCACCAGCCCATCTGACAGTTTTATGTGCATCCTCATAGTTTTTTTGCACATAGTTCCTCTAACACCCTTTTCCCACTTTGTAACAGTTATTTTAAACATTTTACTCACCCACTAAACAGTGTGCACCTTGCAGGCAAGTTTCATACCTTATTGATCTTTGTATTATTTCTAGTATCTAGAACAGAGAATGGCACAGAGGCCATGGTAATAAATACTTGCTGAAATAAATTGAATTTTTAAAATACTTTTGTTCCCTAAGCAGCCACTTTCCTCTGCCATGTCAAACACATCGAGTTTCTTGTCCTTTGGCAATGGCATATTTCATATATACCCAAGAGATTTAAAGGCATACAACACAGAGAGCCAAAATGAGAGACTCATTACAGTAGTGCATTAGAGCCACTAAGTCATATTTTGCAACCATACTGTGCCACTGATATAATTAGAAGATATTGAACTTTCATTAGTTAGGGAAGCCAGCCACCCTTTAATTGTCATTATTTAAATTTTTTGCTGACTGTAATAGCCTCATGAGATAGACATCTCATTTCTGTGACAGACCCATGGGTCACCAGTGGTGTAATTTTATTTCTCTGTAGTTGAATACAGCTGAGAATAGTGTTCAACATTCAATCCACTCCTAAATTTCATTAGTAACATTCATCAGGTACAAATTAATTCAGTTTCCCATTTTAAAGTCAGAATTTCACTATGTTGGAAAGAACAGTATTTCATAACACTCAAGATAATGTACAAATCCCACCAAATGTACTGGACCTCATGCACAAGCATCTCTAGTGGGAAAGAACACTCTGCTTCCCAAGACAGCTCATTGAATATGATGGAACCTTTGATTAATTTTAATATATAGAATGAAACAACTACTTTAGCCTTATTATTCCATTTCTATCATATACATTGTATATTATCTGTGATCTAATATCTCTTATATCATTGAGAAATAATTGGTATGTTACTTTATATGACTTCTTTTACTTAGGCTATATTATGTCCAGTTTTCTCTATCAACTTCCATATTGAATTATCTGTGTTCACTCTATTATTTGCATATTCTCTATCTCCTCAACATGTTTATAACTCTTAAGGGGAGGTACACATAAATGTAGCCAATACCTTCAGGATTGTGGCTATGTAAGAGGAAACCCAGAGCTTCACTCTTCTTTCATAAGGTGTTTATATTTCCTTATATAAAAGCTGAATGTCGAGAACAATGTTACACAGACTTCTAAGACTGGTAACTTCTTACTTAGGTCTTTGAAACTCAAAATAGGTAAAGTTAAATGTAAAATGTAGATAAGTTAATAAAATTCCATCTCTAGTGTCTCTGGACATCATTATAGGAATTTATATATAATTAAACAGAAGCATTAAAGAAGTTTCTCTTACTTATATATTTGATACTTAAAATTGTTTCCTCTTTTATGTGTTTAATTTATTGTAGTTCAC